GGGGGGGTACTTTGCAGAGTACGCGAGTCCGAGCAGTATAGTGGCCGCGAGTTGCGTCAGGCGACATGTCGTCGTGGTCCGTCGTCCGCCCGGGTGGCGCGGCCGCAGGCGCCTCTTGGCCCAACTCCCTTTTACTACTACTCCACTTCTTGTACCGCGGCGGCGCGCGCGCACTTGGCCGCGCCGTTTGCCGCCCTTGGGCAGTCTAAGGGCAGCCACGTGGCGCTTGCCGATAGGGGGTTCGCGCGACAGGGCGCAGCGCAGGGAGCCCCTTTGGCGGGGAGGCGCCCCCTCGGAGCATACGGCGGGCGGCACGTGGCGTGTGGCCTAGCGAGGAGTCCCCCGGGAAGAACCGGACCCGCAAGGTCAGGCGAGGCGCGGCCGCGCGCGGGGCGGGCTGGGGGGCTCCACGGGGTCATCGCCTGAGCCCAACCCCACCCTCCCGTCGCCCCGAGAGGCCCATCATCGGCCCAATTCTGCATCTCCCCCACCCCTCTTTACCCTTGCGTGACCTAATTCCCAGTAGGGCTGCGGCCGGGCCCCGGGCTTGGTGCGAAAATGTCGCGGAGGCCTTCACTGGCGCGGAGCGCGCCGCACATCCGGGCCGGCGGCGCCTCCGCCACCCGCGGCTCGGCGGGCTACGCCAGGCGGGGGTGGACAGGGAGCCCGGCGGGGAGCCCGGCCCGATGGGGCTCCGCGAGGAGGGCGAGTAAGGCCTGGTCGATAGCTCATAGCGCCCCGCCGCCCCGCCACCCCCACGAGCTGGCCCGGCCCGGCCTGCCCGGCCATCCCTAGGCCGCCACCCTCGGGCTGCTGCTGCTGCTGCTCCCCCTCGGCCGCCGTCGCCCTTGTGTGCCCCCGGGGCGCTGGCCGACCCGGCTCGCTCGGCCGCCTCAGGAAGTCGCCGTCACTGCGCCTGTTGATCTGGCTCTCATTTTCGATTCCGCCGAGCACGCCAGTGGCACGCCAGTGCTGCTCGGGCCGCTCAGCGAGCAGCATGCATTAGGGACGCTATGATTCACCCCCCGGCCAGCCGGCAGCGGTGTCCTGGCGGTGCCCCGAGCGGCCTGCTCAGGCCGCGACCTTTGTTGAACTGGCTAGACGCAGCGGGGCAAACCGGGAGGTCACGGTCAGGTGGGCAGCGCGCCAGCCCAGGCCGAGCGAGCCCGCCTTTGGAGCCTCCGGCCGCCGCTCCGCGGGTTCGAGTCCGGGCCGGGGCTCAGCAGCTTTGCGATGCGATGCGACCCCCCAGCGGCGTGGCGGAGCGTGGCGGGCCCGGTGGTCAATGCAACGGCTTTGGGAAGTGGATGGGCCCCACACCGCACCGCGGGGGCGGCGGGCGGGCGGGCGCGAGCAGTTTCCTCTTCCTGCCCCCACCGCCGCTCGGCCCAGCGCCTCCCACCCCCGCCCCGCCCCGCACCTCGATCGATCGCCCTCCACCCCGTTACCATCCACCCCCGAGTGCCTCCCCGCGGGGCGCCCGTGGAGCGGGGCTGGCGCGGCGGGGCGGGGCGCTCGGTACGCCCCTGGCAACCAGTGCAGGGCTGGGCGTACACCACATGTCACTCTCTGCGGAGCCTTGACGCGGCGGTGGCAAAGACCCCCCTCGGCCATACCGCGCGGCGCCAAGGAGAGAGCGTGGAGTTGGCGGGAGGGTCGAGGACGCCGCCGCGAGTGTCCAAAGTGACAGCCAGGCGCCGCTGACTGGACCTCGACTCGCCCCGCCTCTATTTGGAGTTTACAACACGTTTCGTCGCTGCCGCCTCCGCCGCCGCCGGCGAATCCCGCGGCAGCGCGTTGACGCTAATTTGCCGAAGCAATTAAATTGGGTTCGAGTCGACCTCGGCCCGCGGTTCGGGTCCGAGGACGTTTGGCCGTGTGCCCGCCAAGTGCCCCCCGTGCACACAGGCCACGGGCCGGGGACGGGGCCGGGGACGGGCAGCAACCGCGCAAAAAGAAAACGTCGGTGCAAGGATTTGTGTCCGGCTGCGGTGCAGTCATCCCGCGGTACGGCCTGGCGGGGCGGGGCGTGGGAGGGGCGTGATGTCACCCGCTCTGCGGCGCTGCGCCGCGGTCGCGTCGCGGTCACTTTGACGTTAGAGCAACGCCATCGAGCATCGCGGGGGGGACACACCAGCAGGCCGGGGCGGTGGCTAGCTCGCCGATCTGCCAGCCAGGGCAGGGTAGGGGTCTTCGACCTTGACTTGCTATTGGTGAACATCCTGATCGAACACACACACACACAACTTCAACGGGCGCGGGTTGGCGGGGCGGGGGCGGGGTGGTGTGTGTGGCACTTGTCACCGCTGGCCTGGTCGCTGCACGGCCCCACTACTACCCGCCGGGCCTGGTCGCCCTCTCGGTTCGTGCAGCAGCAGCAGCAGCCGCCCGACTGCTGGACGGCCTTGAACATCAGCTGATGAAGCGTCGCCTCGGCCCGCTCGCGCTGACACGAGCCAGCCGCGGGGGTCCCCGACGTGCGCCGCCGTCATATCCAGGCTCCTGCGCCTCATCCATGCCAGCGTTTAATATTAAAATGTGCGCCCTGCTATAACGCAGTCTCTCCATGGTCATCAGGACCTGCCACGCCCCCTCCCCTTTCCCCCCGAATCTCATCACAGCCCTCGTACTGTTTTTTCCCCTGGGTCATTTTGATCATGGTTTGGTCCATTAGAAACTCTCTACCAGTCCCCCTTCCCTGTCCTTCCGCCCACCACCAGCTCAGCTGCCGTGCCGCGGACGAGCGCAAAGCCAACATTTTTATCCTGTCATCTTCTTTAGGCAGACCCCCCCCCTGGTTTTCCATTATTTTTATTTATTATGTCCATTATGTTCTCTTGCATTGTGTTTGTTTGTACAGCAGCAGCCCACGGGGCTGTTATGCAGTGCACCGCGGCCACCCCACCCTTTGCCCCCCCCCCCTCTATCTCCCCACACTACACCGGCCTCTAACCCCCTTTTGCTCTCGATAAGATGCAAACTGGAGTGTAATTAAGGCCCCCTAATGTCGTTCCCCCTTCCTCCTCCTCCTCCTCCTCCCGCCTCCCGCGACGGCGCGATGCGCTGGCTGCCGCTGCAGCCGACTGGGATGACTGCCAAGCGCGAAATAGGAACTTGACATGCAGGACGCGAATCGAAGAGAGGGACAAATTAAAACACACGGCGATGGCGATGGAAGGCTGTTACGTGTTGCTGCCCGTCGGACCACACAGCTGCTGAACGCAAAGCAGAGGGAGACGATCAGAGAGAGGGGCGAAGAAGAGAAAGAGAGAGAGAGAGAGAGAGAGAGAGAGAGAGAGAGAGCGCAGACAGAGAGAGAGAGAAAGAGAATGGAAAAGAAAGAGGAGAAAAGCTTCAGTCCCTCTTTGTTGTCGTTCCTAGTTGTTATCAGTGTAGCGGGGTGCGGCGGGGCGTGGAGGTAGCGGCGGAGCGGAGGGGGCGGAGGGCCTGTCCTGACAGGTCGTGGGTCCTGCCCCCCCCCCCTCTCCCCTTTCCTCTGGGGCCCACAGCGACCAGGAGGAGGAGGCCAGGGGCCTGGGACACCACCCACCCCACCCCTTGCTCTCACTAACTCCCGCACACATACACACACAACATGCATACACTCACACAAACAAGTCAAGAAACACACAAAAATAAAAGGAAAAACATTACAGACGGTTGAAGGGAGAAACACAACCGCTGCGGACGCAACGCGATGAATCGCGTCAGGCAGGGCAAATAAAAAGGTTTGCACTCGGCGACAGGTCCTTCCCCGGCGGCAAGCGCGCTGATGCAATGTAAAGGATCAATATCACGGGAGGTTAACTAACGAACGAGCACCCCCGAGCTGCTGACGCCCCTTTGGTGTGGCGGCCCAATCGAACAGGGGGAGAGGGTGGGCCAACGGGTCGAGCAAGTTAGGACAAGTGCAAGCGTGCGCTGCAGCTCTGCACCACCGGCCACAGGACTCTAGCCGCTGCCAGGCCAGGCGCGGCCTCTATGCCGTGCTGCTAGTGCTGCCTCGCGCTGGGTCAGCGAACTGAAAGCAAAGCCCTTCCCTTCTTGCCCGCCCCCTCCGCCTCCCTCACTCCCTCCTGACGTCCCCTCCCTGCGGCCTGGCCTGCAGCAGATCCTGCAGCAGATCCTGCAGCAGATCCTGCAGGGGCCGCAGGACTGCAAAGCGTCTCTCGGACGAGCGACTGCAGTCCCTTTGTGAGAGAGGTGCCTGCCAGCCCTCAGCCTCAGCTGGGCTGAGAGGGGGGGGGGGGGGCGTCCGTCAGACGACGAAATGTCACTTTCTGGCGATCATCGCCTGTCGCTCTGCGACTTCGCGTTTTGCGTTCACTCTTTCACACTCGACACTCCCACTATTTCGCACTGTATCCACACGCACAAGTCCGTCCACAATCAGGGGACGTCCCCGGGGCCGAGCGGGGAAAACTGGAGGAAACTCACTGGCCGCGGAACTAGGGTAGCGCACAAGAAAACAACGGAAACTGGGACAACACTCGCCTGATTTTGTGTCCGGCCGATGCTTGAGATGAGCCGAGAGTCTTGTCTTCAGTTTCGTCGAGTTGTGCTTGTTCTGTTGCTGGTTTCTTGGTTACTTTCTTTGTTACTTTGTTTCCCCGGGACGCACTAGCAGTCGAGTTGAGCTTGGCTTGGTCGGTTGCTGGACTCAACTGACTGTTGGGGCGACGCTCGCAGCTGATTCCTGCCGTTCCTGCCTCGGCCGGCGACGCCAGCGCGCTCTCGCGGCCGCGGGCGGCGGCTGCTCCCGAGCCAGCGGCGCACACGGCGGCGGCCGCAGCACCCCGCGCCAGCCAATCGCAGGCCGGCACAGCGTCGCGGGGCGCGCGGGGGGCCGAGCGGGGCGCGCCGCGCCGCAGCGAGCCGCGCCAGCCGCGGGCCGGCCGCGCCGTGCCGAGCCGCGCCCCGCAGCTCCGCGGGGTGTGGCGGGGCGCGGCGGCGGGGCGCGGCGGGGGAGGGGGCGTGTTGTTGGGATCCCTTTGTCTCATGCGTCCTGCCTGCCTGCCCGTCCGCTGGGCCCGTCCGTCGTCTCTCAGCTGTGTGTGTGTGTGTGTGCAGGACACGCCAGGACACGCACACGCACACAGCTGATGACCTGCATCACTGGAGGGCCCTCATGCCGTTCCGACACCCTCCCTTGCCTCTGCCGCACACTTATCGCCCCCCGCAGTCGTTCGTTCACGTGCGTTATTGACCCAACGAGTAGCCTTCAACCTATTTCCAGATAGGCAGGTGCTTTACTGGCTAACATACTGGGCTCCCCCCCCCCCTCACCCCCCTATGTCTCTGCACTTGCCTGATCCGCGCACTGCAGCGCGCAGGCCCGCCTGGAACTCCTAGAACAGGCCGTGTATACTCCAATATACTCGCGCAGGGCTGCATGCATAAGGCGCGGCTTGCAGTCAGGCGAGGCGCCCTCCCCTCTGGACCACGCCAGAGTACTCGACTACTACTCTCTCGAGGCGTGTTTTCGTTCCCCTACCGCGGTAGCTCTTGGTAGCGTGCGTGACGTCACAAACACCAAACGCAAACGAAAACAGGGCGGTGGAGTGTCGGCTGCTGTTTGGCGCGTGTGTGCAAAGGATATTGTGTGTGCGAGATAACTTAAAATGAGGAAAGTGGATAAAAATAAGTTGGTTGTGATTGCTTCTATCCTTTTGGAGGAGTTCGAAGAGGACGATGATGTCCTTTCGGTAATCGGAACGCGACGAAATGCTACGAACTCTGTCGCAACGTCCCTGATTAAAGAAAGGAGGAAGCACTTTAGGTTAGGCCAGTTGTACAAGAATGACTTAAATTGGATAGATCGGTATCTGGACAGTGATTTCCACCGACGATTTAGGTATGTATCGAACTACCCAGCATTATTACATATGTCTTCCTTTTTTCAAATACGGGCTCTAATTATTTTCTTTACCTTTCAAGGATGAAGAAGGAAACATACAGAGCTCTTGTAGAAGTAATTCGGCCTCATTATCCCGTCAAAGAACATCGTGGTGATGCTCAGGTGGTCGACGTTGAACGTGCAGTGATTATGACCCTTCATTATTTAGGACAAGAAGTTTCAATGGACTATGTTGGTGACAAGTATGGTTTCACAGGGTCGACTGTGCACAAAGAAGTCCACAGGATAGTGGCAATTCTATGCAGCTTGAAGAGCACTTTTATTGTGTGGCCCACCGGAGATGAGTGCCACATTGTGCAACAACAGTTTCATGAAAGGGCAGGGTTTCCAGGTGTAGTAGGTGCCATCGACGGTTGTCACGTGGAAGTACTGGCACCAGCTGCTGATCAAGATTCTTACACTGATCGGAAATCCGATCATTCTATAATTTTGCAAGGAGTGTGCACAGCAACAAAAATATTTACAAATGTGTCAGTTGGGACGCCAGGGTCAAGAAATGATTGCCGAGCATTAGCCTTCTCGAGTCTGTACAGGAAAGTTACCACTGAAGGTCACAGAAGCCTCTTTTATGATGACAACTACCACCTTGTTGGGGACAAGGCATATCCCAACCGCTCATGGCTTCTAGCTCCCTTTAAGAACTATGGAAATTTGACAAGGATGCAAAGAAGGTACAATTATAAGCACAGTGTTACAAGAGTAGTTATTGAACACACTTTTGGACTTTTAAAAGGTCGGTGGTGACGTCTGCTCTTCCTGACCCTCAAAGATGTTGGCAAAGATTCCAATTTTGTTTTGGCAGCTTGTGTTTTGCACAATTTTTCCTATTTGCACAATGATACTGTAATTCAGGATATGGCTCAGAATGTACGGATGCTCAATGCTAATGGTTTTGGTGGAGTGGCTGATGCAGAAAGTAAGCGCATTGGAGATGAGAAAAGAGATGTAATATGTAGAGCATTGTGAGGTTTGTGGTACTTCACTAGATAGTAAATTGTGATCCTTGTGCTAAAATATAAAATTTACAGAATAAAATGAATGGATAACTGCACTTTTTGGTAATTTTGTATATTTTCTTTCAAAGCAGAAAAACAACAGGGAACAAAAATATCACAAATCTAGTACACTTCACATCACAGTCAGCCTACCAGCAATGTTGACATCTTGTTCCCTATTGTTTTTCTGCTTTGTTTCGAAGCAGGAAAACAGCACAGAACAAGTTGCAACCAAAGGCTGGTT